TGTTAATATGAAAAGAGTAATTTTTTAATTATCTACTCCTGGTGCTTGCAAACCTGCAGTGGAAAAAAAATTGATTCTGACTTATTTGTCTCATATTAATTATGTCTTTAAGTTGAGGTTGTTGACCACTAGTAAATGATTTTAGGAAAGAACACCGCGAATTGTTACTGAAAAATGGTTCGATGATGCACAGAAAAGGACTTGCCGTACGTTTGGGGCCGCCAAAACCTGCAGAAACTATGAGCAGAAAATATCCTTACTCGGAATGCGCCCAAGTTGGAAATTACAGTCGGAAACGGCAAACTTCTCAAAGGGAACTGTTTTCTGATCCATCGAATAATGATAGACCATGGCTGAAATCACTGAGCAGCGCTGAGTACAGACATGCTAAACTATCCAATGGTTCCACGTTTCGTGTTTACACTCATCCAGGCAAATATATTGCGGTGAATGCAAGTCGTGAAATGCAGCAGGCATGACGAGATGGTGGATGTGCAGGTATCCTCTGCAGTACTTACTTTTTGGCATATTGGTTAGTTATCGTTTCACCAGATACAGCTGACGATAATTTTCATGGCCGGTGCCTCGCTTTTTGGTCAGCTTTCGTTGCAAGTGTTCAAAAACATTGCTGGGCTCTGTTCTTTCTGTGCTTATATTGTTTGAGACGCGCATGCTTTTTGACGATATCGTGAAGATAGCGTAATGTTACTAGTAGCTTTAGCTGCGCCACTAAAACACTCTTCTAAGCGCATAAAGTCGTGGTAGAATGCTCCGAGAATTCGGTATCAGTGATATATTCTGTCATTTCTCTGTGATTCACAAAATTTTTCATTACGGCGTTGCTCGCTTTTAAATTTGATTCAGTGTTTCTTATTTTTTTATCCTTGTGAGGTAATTAAGCGAGGTGTCTGAGTGCACTAGGTGGTAGTTTCACCTGCTGCGTAAACTCAGAAGAATGCTGTTTGTAAATTTGCCGCTTAAGAAATCTCACTTCAATTTGCACTCTTTTGGTACTTCTGTGTTAAATGTGCCTAAGGCTTCAATAATGATATATTTTTAAAGTCTGCTAGAGAATGAGTAGTGAAGTGACCGCTGCTGCTAAACTTATAGTCGCTGAGTTTGTCCCGTTGCCTGAGTCTTTCACTTTTAGGGAGAAGCATACTAATTTGGTCGGAAAAGGAGTTCATTTGCTGTCCTTGTTGCAGAATACACTATCACACTTTTTGTTCGCGGGAAGAAGTAAAAAATTTAATATTTTGGTCGTGTTATGTATTTTTAATGTCATGTGTGGGAGTATCCCAGTAACATTACTAACATGGATTTCCCGCACTATAAACCCACTCAGCCCTGGTGTTCACGGTTTTATTATCATTTCTCTTCATTGTATTATTATTATTTCTCTTCTTCATGGTATTACTATTTCTGTTTTTACAGCTACTCTTATTATTGTCTTCACTGTTTTTGGTATTATTATTAGCCAGGTTATTTTATAAAACGGGGAGTGAACGAAAGAGGGCAGGGCGGGACGGGCGAAGGGGAAGGGAATTATTCGAGTGATACACAGTGTGTTTTTGGATGCAAAATACAGAAAATTATGGGAAAAAAATTCTTATAACATAAAAGTCAAAAAACTCAAAACTGAAATTACGAGGAGGGGGAAGGGAATTTTGATCGACTGGTTAATTTGGTGAAAAAAATGTTTAAACAGTGTTCGGACATGACATATGACATGTTCGGAATACTACAGTTTCGGAAGAGGGCAAGCCATGACTCGGATTTTTGAGGTTCCTGCGCTAATATAGGTTGGTTCACGTGAAATCTATTAATTATCTTGTTTAAATCACAATTGTTAAAATTCCAGAGCGAAACAGTCTGTGGATTTCAAATTTTGGTGGTTTGCGGCCAATGTCGGTCAACAGTTGTGCATTTGTTACATGCACCCATTTCTTTGCATGCCAACAGTAACCATAAAAATGCCTGGTTGCGCAATTCCTTTGGTGTGTGTGTGTCGCCGTTATTTGTACTTCTTCTGTGTGAGATGATAATTTATCTATGGTTTTCACACATTGTTTCTATGGCGGGCAGCTGTATTTGAATACAGCAAATTTCATTCCCCGCAACATTTTCATATCTGCTAGCACTTTCTGTGTTGTTGGCTTTGGGTGGTATTTCAGTTCTGTCTTTCCATTTTTCGCTATGATATTATCGATTTAGCATTTGGGATTTGCTTTCTCCCAGTGATTGGTTATAAACTGTGATACTTTAATGCGTTATTGTCCAGCTGTGCATTGCAGAAACAGTTCGGGAGTGAAACCCTCTGGGGGATAGCCAGTAAAAGTTACTGGATGCCTGGGTAACATCCGTTAATTTCAGTGGCTATGGTCTGAATTATCGCTGCAGTTTGAATACACGCTGCAAATCGCAAATAGCTATGTTATGATAAAACGAAGGAGCGCGATTAAATAAGTAGATAGTTTTAGGAGTGCATTTATTAAGGCATCTCACAATCGTCCATTTGATTTCAACTCGCTGCAAATTTCATCGACAGACGAGTGATTGCTGTTCCCACTCCCCTCACCTCCTCTCACTGATATTCCCATTTAGTGTTTAGTTCATAGAGTTGTGTTCGAAAACAAGTTGCGATGATAGAAACATTTTCCTGGACTATCAATGCATTTGCAATGAAACATTTAAAGAGATGGTGCAACGCAGCAGTGTCTGTTGCGTCGCCTACTAGCAGACGCGTCCACTAGGTAATTTTTCGAAATTTCGTTTCCATGAAGGAAGACTCATTTTCTGTGCAATTATTTGTCAAAACGTATACGCAGAGTTGGGGTTTACTTTTTCTTAAGTTTTAAAAAAGCATAAGATAATATTAATTTGATGTATGTTGAAGAACTAAATAACAAAACTAACGTGGTTTTTGAAGCGGATAAGGGTTATTATGAATTATAGAGTTGAAATACAGATT